AATGTTATAGAGTAACTCAGTTTCGCCTTTGCTTAGCCATTTAATTTAAATTTCATTTCCTCCATTTATGAAAGTGATTTTTAATTCTGTACCTAAAATTGCAAAGTAAACTTTAGCTGGGTTACATCTTCTGACACCTTAAATCGAATTCTACTGCTGCGTAGCTGTTCTGCCAATATTGTGTACTCTCACTTACAGTAATTATTGTCTATTTAGATGCCAAAATCCAGCTATTAATTATGCAGCTTTGGCAGGAAATTGAAGAAGCCATTTCAAGATTGCCATCAGCTTTTGCTGGCCAGATTTGATGATTGGTGTTATAATGAGGACTTTCAGCCACATCCATCTCTCATGTACAGAAGCCGAGTTGTTTTTGTGCATTAAATTATTGAACTGGTTAGTTTCTTCTTTATTTTCTTCCCCTTTGCCCTCACTAGAAGTATTAGCATTTTTACATATGACATGTACAACCCTAGTAGCTACCAAACATGAATATGTTTATTACTGATTAAGTTTTACGGTGAACCATGAATTCAATTTTGATATCACTTTATATCTGATTTTCAGCCTAGTATTGTATAAACTTAGTAAAGTGTAACTATTAGCTTTATGTAAATCTAGTTTTAAATAGAATGAACGGAATTTTCACCATATACCACTGTGTTTTAACTTAATTCACCATATACCACCAAAAACTTTCTAATTCATCATGTACCACTGAGTTTGTTGAGTAATAAGGTTTTGATGATTTTAAACTAATGATGATTATCTATCTAACGTGTTTGTTAAGTTGTGCATAGAAAGAACAAGTTATACTTGGAACATGATACAAGGAACCTGAGCAATGACAAGTATATAAGGAACTTAAGCAATACATGATAAGCAATAGAAGAACAAGAACAATGATGAGTGTTATGGTTGATAAGCATGATGATGGCTAAGGAACCATGAAGGTAACTATGTAAATAGGTGTTTGCATAAGTTAGCTTCATGAGGTAAGTACGCTATGCATACATGAATTGTATATGTGTAGGAGTATTTACATAAGCTTTAAGTTTAATTAGTTCTCTCACATGAAGTTTGTTTATGACAAACAAACTTCAATCTAATGTTTCTCTTAAGTGTTTATGTGAAGACATGAACTGACTTAGGTGAAGTCAATGGGTTGGAACATAGAAGACTTCAAGAGGAACAAGAGAGAATGAATGAACCTAAAGCAGGTTCTCCCATGAGAACCAAACCACGAAGGAACCTGAAGGTATTCTCTAACAAGATCTAGAAGGAACTTTCGGCAGGCTTTCCCACGAAAGCCGGAGCATGTTCCCTAACAGGTACATGAAGAGTTCCATGTTCCCTAACAGGTACATGAAGAGTTCCCTAACAGGAACTTAGCTCTCTAACAAGAACTATCTAAGTTCCCTAACAGGAACTTGCCCCGAGATCTAGAATACATCAATACTACAAGATTCCAGAACAAGAGTTTCAAAGAAACAACATGAAGACGGAGAAATTGAAGTATATCGCTCTAGGATTCATGTAAGTATGTTGGACATAAAAGTCAGTCTGGAACAAGTCTAAAGAACCAAGGTGAACTCATGATAGTCAATGAAATTAGAGTTACTAACTTGTCAGGAACTCAGAGACTGTCAGAGTTCCGAAACCTAATCGGAACTTAGGTCTGCACGTCGTTAAAGGTCGCAAGTCGAATTTAAAGATATAAATATTTACCTAATACGTGCATATCTTTTAGGGATTTGGTTTTACAGAATAAAAATATTTATTTTCTAATAAATCCCTTTTGGAAAAAGATAAGTTATTTTTGGAAAATATTTTCAGTAAAATAAGTTTTAAATAAAATCTAATTTTATGGCAAGTATATCTTTTGTTAAAAGATATGGTAAATATATCTTTTGTAAAAAGATATAGTAAGTATATCTTTTATTAAAAAGATATGGTAAGTATATCTTTTGTTAAAAGATATATTAGTATATTTGAAAAATATAAGATTTAGATAAAATCTGATTTTATGGTAAATATATCTTTTTATTATTGATAGAATATATTCTTAACAAAAAATATATTTTTGGAAAACTTATTTTTGGAAAATATCTTTTATTTCTATCTTTTAATAAAACTTATCTTTTACGAAAAGAATAATTTGGGTGTACTATAAATATGCTCATATGTATTCATTCAAAGTTGAGGCTGATGAAGCTTAGTGGTCGTGCTTAATGGTTTCATCCTTCACCACGAAGCTAAGTCAAACCTCCAGGTCGAAGTTCCAGTCAGGTTCCGGTTATAGTTCGTCCAGTAAGTTCCAGACAGATCTCGAGTGTCCAACATATTAGTTTTATCTCTTTATTCATTGGTATGTATTTAGAGTTGCTCTTTGAGATCTTGTAATTGGGAAAAAGGGTTTTGAGTGTTTTATGTATTGGGGTGTGAGAGTTCGTGAGGATTCTCGTTATAATTATATTAAGAGTGCAATGTGTGAGCTTCTAGGTGAAGCTGTGAGTTTTGTACTTAGGTGGTACAAGTATTTTGTACTTTGGCAGTACGTGTAGTACTTTGGTGGTACGAGTGAATCTAAGTGTGGTGCTTAGATTGGGTAGGATAGGGTCCTATCAAGTAGTAAGTCCAGTGAGGAACTTGTGAAATAAAGGTCCGTGTCTAATAGGTTGTAACTTAGTGTTTGCCCTATTATAGTGAAGTGGTTTGTGTTTGAAATTCCTAAGGTAGGGTCGAGGTTTTACTTCCAGTTGGGCCCTGGATGGTTTCCTTGTAAAATCCGCTTTGCATTGTCTAAGTTCCAAACAGCAATCAGTTTTATATTCCGCAAAAAGTAGGCAATAGGAACATACTACAATTCACCACCCCTCTTGTAGTATATCATCCGAAATAATAGAGTTCCTGTGCAATACCACAATATATATTTTTTTATAACTGCCGTTAGTCTGCCGTTTAGGGTATTTTACTAATTCACCATATACCCATGTTTATAAAGTTATTTCACCCGATACCATTAAATTAAAAAATATTTCACCATATACCTAGAATTTGTAACGGTTATTTTAATTATTGCATCTACTATTTTTTGCTGCTTCACTATTCTTTTCTCGAGCTCCTTCAAAATACTCTCATCTCCATGACATTATGTGTCTATGCTTCATCTGTTTTGAAATTCATAACCCGAAAGAACATTTTGATCGGCATTACCCTTGCACCATCGAACTTTCTCCCATATGTCACACTTATAGTACAAGCTTTTATGGATATTTTGTCGAATCACAGCTCCTTATTGCAAATTTCCTCCCACACGCACAAGCTTTGTTTGGCATATGCATATTAATAAGATGACGATGATGATTTCGAGTGTGTTGACATCTTTGCAAATGCTTTTAGAAGGGTGTAGTGCTACTTTAATCCCTCAAGTATTATGTTTATATACCTAAACTATCCGTTATAACGACTATTTTTTTTTACAAAAAAAAATAATCGTTGTAATTTCTGGGTATATAGTGAAATATCTTTTAATTTAATGGTATATGGTGAAATAACTTTATAAACATGAGTACATGGTGAATTAGTATAATACTCCAAACGGCAAGCTAACGGCAGTTACCAAAAAAAGTATTTTGTGGTATTACACGGGAACTCAATGGTATATGGTGAATTAGAAAGTTTTGGTGGTATATGGTGAATTAAGTTAAAATTCAGTGGTATATGGTGAAAAAACCGTAAAATGAAAGTACTCTAAAAAAGCTAATGTATCATGCCTGCGCTTGGTTGGTAAAGAAACAAAATACTCCGTATTCGACTAGTGTCTGGTTTATATCATCTAGTTAAGGAACTTCGCCTTATTCTACCGTTTGATTAGTATTTAATTTTGTTTTTAGTTTCATTTAACCATCAGCTTTATTGTATGACCCTTTAACTAGTAACTAAGACGGAAGTGTCCTAGGTTGCTAAAAGTGTTGAATATTTGTCTAACCAATACAATGATGTTGAACAAACCTTATCGGTTATAATGCCTAAACTCTGAATACCTCTCTACAAGCATTGAAGTTACTGTTAAACTAAACTTTAAAAGGCCAAGTCTTGTATTACTCGTGAAGTCTTAAATTTCCTTTCTTCTCATGTAAAGGGTGACATTTCTTTAGCAGTTTCGATGTACTCACATTCGACTATTGTGATATCAAATAAAATTACTGGCAAGATGCATTCTTCTTCGGTTTTGGGAGGTGGGTCTCAGGCTTTCCTGGCTGTCTGCTTTGCAAGCTGAGCTAGCTTAATTTTGGGCTTTCATTTGGCCCAACGGGGAGAGTTTTGTAAATTTGCTATCAATACTGACTGCTCTTCCTTACCTGCTTTTCTTGGGGGTTCTTGCTCGGCTGATATGTCTGCTTTCTGGTTGTCTCGGGAAATTTGAGCTGCTATCCAGGACCTTTCCGCTGCTTTATTCGCAAGGTGCCTCGTGCTTGGGTTTCTCCTGCTCATTGGCTAGCTGTTGGTGCTTGGCGTAGTTAGTTTCTTTGTTTGTTCTGTTTTTGTTTGTTAGCTCTATTTGTATTTTTTGTTTTTGTTTTTGTTTTTGTAAAAAACTATTGTTGTATGACCTACTAAGACTTGCTTCATATCCGCAAAAGTTTGCAGGTGAACAACTCAAAAACTACATTTAAAAAAAAAAATGGTAAATTGTTCCATGTACCCTTCGGGTTTTAAAAAATGCACCGTGTACCCTTGCAAAGTTTTGAATGAATTATGCCTTGACAAATAATGATTATGACTAACACCCTTGCACCATTTCCGATAGTTTTATGTTTCGAAAGTGCAAAACTGCAAGTCTGCAATATTTCCACTTCTTGCTTGCTTTGCTAAAGTGATGCAAACAAACTAAGTTTTGTTTCGGGCACTAACATAGTTTAAAAGGAGTAACGAAATTCAAGCAGTAATCTTATCCAACTCCCTCAATTTGTCATCATCATAAGCAGAACAACAAGAAAAACAAACATAAAACAATAGCTTTGAAAAATTAATATGATGAGGTAATGATGACTAGCAATGGATAAATATAGCATATAAATTATTGTGTTATCACTTATCACTTTATCAGTGACTCCATACAAAACAAAAGGAAAAAGAATAGTCAACAACCTACATATTAAGCATGGTGATCAATCCAAATAAGCTACACCAAATACAATGCAGCTCTGCTTCACAACAGACTTCCTTGCAAAGCCTAATGGGCTAATGGTGAAGTGAAGATCAATCCTTGACATAAAGTTCTGGTAGGTTGTAGCAATGGTTAGGCAGCAGCAGTTGATTCCTTGGCTAGTAAAAGCTTGACCCGTTTCGACATCTCCCTCATTACATTCACAATCATGGACTTCTTTTCCAATCTGAATTGGATAGCCAGCTCTGAGAAGGTAGAGACACCCTGTTTTAGTAAGGCCTCATCCTCCGCCATTTGTGTGGGAAAATTTTTCAGTGATAACACACACAACCCAATAATAGTTCGAAGAGCAGCCAATTCATTTTGGATTCCGAGAGGAGCTTCAGCAGACAACAACTGAAGGGTACTCAAATCATGCTCACGTACTTTTTCCACATCACTTGCATGCAGTACACGTAAAGAAGCCAAGAGTCGACCATCAACCAAATCTGGCCCACCCAATGTTACCTTTCAAGAGATAGGACAGCAAAAGCTTTAAATACCATAGTAATAGCTCTAGCAATAAGAAATTCTCTTAGATTTATGGAAGTTATAGAAAACAACCTAAAATTATACACGCAACACTTTCTGAACTCTTAAGTACCATTAATTTCACAAAAGATCTGACTATCTTCTCTTGCGAAACAATACTTTCAAGCATAGAATGATTAAATTTGACCTCTAGTTTCACTAATTTGTCAATACAAATAGTGTGGGCTGATGGCTATTACAATTGGCATTCAATTTAGAGTAATATAAAATTCAACAATCAGTTTAAAGGTTCATACTAGAATATTTCTTTAGGGAATAATTAAAAGGGGAAAAAAGCCACAAAAGTACTTAGTATGGGGTCTCTGCAACTTTACTTCCTACTTTCTATTTTGGGGTTTCCCTCTTATCTGTTTCCTACTTATAATTTACATTATAATGGTCTTACTGTCCTCACTGTTTGGGTGGCACCAAATACACGTTCCCCTAAGACCCTCACCAACCCATGATTTCCTCTCTTCGAAAGCGAGGAGCTAAACTCACTCACTCGTCACTCCTTCCTCTATTCTCTTTTAATCGCATTGTTTTTGCACTGTTTATACACTCAGCTCAATCTATATTTACTATACTAATACTTTAACAACGCTAATTCGTAAAAGATATATTAGTCCCTATGCAGATTTCCATAATATCAATTTTTATACAGTTAACTAGTATTACATTATTAATGATATTAATGGTCATAGCAGTGCATGATCAAGTGTGAAAGTCAAAACATGATAACCAAAAGAGAAGCAGGAAGTACATTCTTAGAACAGTGCACCCAGATCAAAGTTGAAAGCAGTTCAAAATACAGAGGGAGTAGTTCAAAAATCATATAAAGTACATATTGTCAAGGGTCTACCAAAATAACCAGGCATACTATGAACATTAAAGCCAATCAGGTAAACAGTAAAAGAACAAACCTTAGATGGAGCCATCTTATCATCTAGTTCTAAAGCCGACAAGATTTCAGATTGCCATGAAGCTGGTGAAGAGAAATTTGGGGAGTAGAGACCAATGGCAGCACTAGAAGCCTCTAAAAGATATGGCTCATAACGGAGCTCAATAGAGTCATAAGGATTTGCAGCTATCACAAATCCATAGTCCAAGAGGAAAATGTCATTGTTCATACAACCATAATTGAGTTCCAAAGGAGCATCCTTCTGTACATGCTTTTCTGCCACTACCTGCATCAGTCAAGTAATTCACAAAGATAAGACCAACATCAAGCATTTTTAGTATCTGTCAAATCAAGTTACAATAGAAAAGAAAAAAGATGAAAAAATAGTTCTGAACTATTTTAATTGAGTGGTAGTAACTTGCCTTAACCAGCATCTTAGTATTTTCAGCACCTTTATCCTGAATAATTTTAGCATTTGGACTAAAGCTGTGATTGCACATGTCAATTAGAGGCAACATCATAGGGACAGATTTGTGGATCCCATCAGAAAGTTTATCTCCATGCAAGCGAAATGCTCTCGATGAAACAGCTGCCATTGCCCATCCCAGGGCAGATGCATCAACATCTTGACCCCCAAATGGATGATCTCCAGGTTTCACATTAGCAATAGCCCCTTTGACTTGCTTCCCAAAGTCAAAAAGAAATCGGCATCTCTTGTTTACCTGTTACAGCAAAAGAAATGAAGAAAGCAATTGTAAATTTCATAAGGATCCAGTTGACAAGAAGCAAGAAATAAATAGTAATTTTTCTGCATCCCATGGCATAGATTTCACTTACAATCAATAACAATACCTGAGTTATTAGAGGAACAAATTCCAAATTTTGTATATCTTCTTTGTTGAAGAAGATTGGAACACTGTATGTCTCAGGAAGATTGCTGATGTATGGCCACCAAAAAGACCCAGTTTTTGCTCTTTCTTGAAGAAGCTTCAGACCCAACCTCATAGCCCAAAGCTCCTCTGCCAAATGCTCCAGTGTCCAATTTACTCATTTTCAAAATTCAGTACAGCCTAATTTCAGAAAATAGTTACTACCTAATGCAGTATTGCAGTTTACAGGAAATCCTAAAAAATTTACAGCCAGCTATAGGGGAATACAAATGTGTCCAGAAGCATGCCTATGACTGTGAAAAGGAAAAATGTTATGTTTGATAAGAAAGTGGGCAGGTTAAATGTAAAGATATACTCCCTTTGTCTAGAATTAGTCTTAAAATTGCTAGCTCATTATTTACAAGACTATTAATTCCCAATGAAATGTTTCCACTAAAGTACATCCAACAATAGTTGGCGAATCTTCCATTCACCAACAGATTTCACCTCATGAAGACTTGTACATGCCACGTAACAACAGCTTATAATATGCTAATAACAAACAAATATGTCATACTTACTCTGTTTATTTTTATTTGCAGTTTTCAACTTTACACTATTCACACATAGTTTTGATTATCTTTGATAATTAAACTTAAATATAGTCATGTTTGATCTTGTTAGATTTGTCTCAATATATACTTTGAAAATATCAATTCTATATAATTCTACTTATGGTAATAAGAGTTATCAATGGTTGAAGCTATACACTGGCAAGCATGAAAGTAGAAACGCTGCAACTTAAATTAAACTGAGGGAGCATAACTCAACAATTTCAACCTCCGCCATAACATTTTCATTATTTTGATCTTCCCTACAAATTATTATTATGATTGCATAACCCAACTGGGACTACTCTCCGTAACACCAGCATATCGATTTACAGTATATGTATATCAAGTTTCAGTTACTGGTTCCTATTTTAATTTGCTAGCTAGTTGGTTTCCAATAAACAGAACAGCCTACACCAATTGACTGGTATACCTGCAAATTATACAACATTGTTATTTCCACACATCACTGGCTCTTCTCAAAATATAGCACAGTCAAACGTGAATTCCTGAAAATAACAACGTTGCAACTAAAAATAACCACATATAATGTCAGGATTGGCCTTGACAACATTTCCAGTATACTGATCTTCCAAACAAGAAAATTGTTATGATTGCATATCTCAATTGCGTCTAGCCTTAGTAACAACACGTATCGATTGGGATATATCCGTATATGTATATCTAATTATCTACTTTCAGTTCCTGGTTTGTATTTCGATATTTTAGCTAGTTAGTTCCAAACTTCCAATCCAACGAACATACTCCAATAGTAAACGAGAAATCTAAGTTTTACCAATTCCACACATCACTTGTTCATCTCAAATTATAGCAAAGTAAACTTGCAAAAAATAGAACATTGTCGTTTCCCACATCACTTGTTCATCTCAAATTATAGCAAAGTCAAGCCAAAAATTAAAACCCTTATAAATCAAAAAACAGAAAAACATCTGAAAACAGCCACTTATATAACATCAAAATGTGCATAACCTTAGAACCAACAAAAATGGCGGAAATGAGATAAATTACCAGGAATTTGGCGAGCCAACTCAGTCAAAATAGGCGAAGAAGCAGACCCATCAATGGAATCATCAAATTTCAAGGGTAAATGAGGAGGAAGAGCAATAAGATCAGACCCTTTAGGAATTTCATGGGAAGCAACAAGAGCAAGACCATAAGAAGGAACTTGAGCAATCTTGATAGATTCATGGACAAACCCACCTTCCTTTCGAACCCATTTGAGGAGGTCAGGTGGGTGCGGCACCAGACGAGCTGGGTTCGAAGAAGCGCAAGTGAATGGACGAATGTAGGTGCGAGAGAAGGTTGAACTTGAAAGTGCTCCCACTTCTCTGCTGCTGGTTCTCCACATTTTTTTCTCCACAACAAGCTTGCAATGCTGGTTTTGGATGGGTAGACCGGTACATACTAGATAGATATATCGGCACCATAGACCCGACAAAATTAACCCGTCCTGATTCTTGAAACACCTGTTCATCTATGTACGTCAGTGTAGAGAGTAGGGGTGTACAAAAACTGGACCGGACCTGAAACCGGACCTGAACCGACCTGATCTGGACCGGACCTGACCCGGACCTGTTGATTCAGGTCCGGTCCCGGTCCTTAAAAATCAAGGTTCCCGGTTCCGGTCCGGACCCGGTCTAAACCCGGGGTTTTCAGGTCCGGACCTGAAACCCGGAAAAATTGTATTTTTTTTTAAAAAAAAAAAAAAAAAAAATTCAAAAATCAAAATAACGCTGCTGCTTGAGTGACGCTTGAATTCTCTTTCATTTCATTCTAACCCTAACAAACAGGCTGTCTCCCCCTCTCCCTCACGCAGTCACGCTCACTGTCTCCAGTCTCAGCCCAACGCGGCAACGCCCACCGCCGACACCTCCTGCCTTCCTCACTCTCTCAGGCGAAGCCCAGGCGCCCACCGACCACCGCATGAGACAGCTACTGCGCGATTTTCCATTTCTCCGGTAAGTTATTTTTTTTTTTTTAATGTAAATCTAAATTATCTAATTATGTTTGGGTATTTTGTATTCGAAATAATGAATTAAGTGTTAGAATTTATATGTTTATTCATGTTTCAATTGCTTATAATGATTATTTGATGTTTACATGTTGAATTTCTTTTTTTTACTTCAATGTTTTCGAATTTATGTTTTTTCTTTTTTGGTTTATTTTCGAATTTCTTTCGAATTTATGTTTTTTTTTTTTGGTTTTTTTTAGTTTAAAGTTTAGGGTTTTAGGGTTTAATGTTTAGAATTGATAACAAGTATGGTTTATCTTCGAATTTATGTTTTTTTTTTTGGTTTTTTTTAGTTTAAAGTTTAGGGTTTAATAAAATCAGAAGAGCAGAGAAAGTAGTGATTAGATTGTAAACATCTAGTAGTCTAGTGTTTATCTAGTACTTTGCATTGACCTTTGGCATGGCTTCAAATTGAATAGTTGATTTTATGCATTCGGATGCATAAATTCTATGTTATTAGTCATTATATAAGCGTTGTTGCATAAACTTATCATTGCAGAAAAATGCCAAACTCTGCTATCAGAAAGTGTGCTCGTGTGCAGTTGATTAAGAATGGAAAAAAGATTGCTGCTTTCGTGCCCAATGATGGTTGTTTGAACTTCATTGAGGAAAATGTAAGTCCGTTCTATTAATGTCTGCAAGCATATATGCACTTACTGTTTCATAAATTGCTTGGTTGTGAATTTGCTGGTATTTTGTGCCTTTCGACACAAACTTAGTGATACACTAGCAGTTTGTTAACTGTCATTTGTTAACCGTGTTAGAAATAATGTTGTTTGTTAAAGTTTAAACAACTCCAATTATTTGTTAACCTTTGTAGAAACTCTTAAAGTCTAAACAACTCCAGTTATTTGTTAACCATTGTAGAAATAATGTCAATTCTGTTGTGGATTTTTTGGAGAAATACTGGCATCTGATTACTGAAGGTTTAACATTAGTAACAATGCTTTTCTTATACTCATATCATAAACTCTTGATAACAGTTTATCCAGAAACATATAAAACATGATAGTGCGCACTCTTTCTGTGCTGGTTTATCTGATTCTTCTGTCAGTACTCCTGCACCCACTCCTGTTCAGTACATGTGCAGCTTTATTTTTGTGGTTTAAGACTATCATAACAGTATTGCGGTGGAGAGTATATAGCTTGAGCAATTAAGATCAGTCATACACTGTTGGTTTTTTATCCTTTCATGAGCAAATCATCTGGAAAAAGCTGTTCTAAGATAATGCTAATTCATACTTCTTATCAAAGAACGATAAACTATTCCCTTTTACTAAAGAAGTTACCTGATTGGTAAAAGAAGTCAAGGTCTTCTGTTATATGTATATAGTTTAATGTTGTGTTTGGGTGTAGATTCATGCTGAAAATGTGGATCATGCAGAAGTTTGTGGAATTTTGTCTAATATATGTTACCTGATTATATTGTATTTGACTTTGAAATTGATATTATCTAGCTCTGTTTTTCCTTCCATACTAAGAAAATGTGGTTTGTGCAGGATGAGGTGTTGATTGCTGGATTTGGTCGTAAAGGACATGCTGTGGGAGATATTCCTGGAGTCCGATTTAAGGTTGTCAAGGTTGCTGGTGTCTCTCTTCTAGCTCTGTTCAAGGAAAAGAAGGAAAAACCCAGGTCCTAGGTTAAGGTTGTTGGTTTTGTCTTAAATTTTGCCTACTCAAATGAAACTTGTACCGTCTTGAAATGAATACTGAGCATCCTTAAAAAGAGACACCCTCCCTACTTTGTTTTGTGCTCTATCCGTGTCTATTCAAGATGATTTTCTATACTCTTAGTTATTTGCTTATATTTCCAATTGGTTTATTTACTTCTCTTAACGATGTCATGAAAATTTCCGGAATTTATGTTAACAAGATCAGCTTTTTAATGATCTTGCATTTAAAAAAAAAAAAAGGTCTTTGGATCTCCTAAAAACTGCTTTAAAACACAACAATTAACCATTCATTCATTCTCAAAGATGATGCTTAACTAGGCATTTGTATTCAGGTATGCTTCATGGAGTGTTATGAAAGCAACTGCACTTATATTATTAATATATATTAGCTCACTTGATTGAATTTTTTGGTGAACATTTCTTGCAGAATATTCCTCAGAAGTTCATGGAGTGTTTCAAGGAGAAACTCTCCCCGTGGTGTACACTTATAGCGCCAAGTAAACACAAATGGAAAATCAGACTCTCGAGTACATATGATGAAAGGCCATTGGTGTTTACAGATGGATGGAAACAGTTTGTTCGTGACAATGGAGTGGAAACAAAAGTACTTCATATCGAATAGGCGGGATCTTAAACCTGGAGAAAAGAAAAGGGCTTCCAAGATGGCAGAGTGTTATAGGCGCAGCATGAAGGATAATAAGAGAGTGTTTCCTGTGTTTCAGATAGCCAAAAGTACTTCATATCGAATTTATGTTTTTTTTTTGGTATTTTTGGTGTTTGAGAATTGGGACTTTATACTTTTATAGACTTTATGTAGTTTTGTACTTTTGTGATTAATAATTTTGGTTTGTATGTAATTATTTAATTATGCAACAGGTCTAAAAATCACAAAACAGGTCCATACGCAGGTCCATATGCAGGTCCAACAAGTTTTTTATTAAAAAAAATAAAAAAAAAACGAAAAAAAATCACAAAACAGGTCCATTCAGGTCCAAACCTGGACCGGACCTGATTTTTCAGCTCTAGCCCGGAACCGGACCTGTTAATTCAGGTCCGGTCCCCGGTCCTCATAATTACCCAATTCAGGTCCCCGGTCTAAACAGGTCCGGTCCAGGTCCGGTCCGGTTTTGGACCGGTGTACACCCCTAGTAGAGAGTATCAATACGCATTAAGTAAAGTTTGGCCTAATGATAAAAGATGGAGGCCCTATTTGGTAATTAGCTAGTAGTTGCTTGATATAGCTGATTGAATTAAGCGGATATGACTTGCTGGTTATATTAGATGGTTTAACTAGCTGGTTGTAAATAGTTGATTATGTAGAAGTGTTTGATAAATAGCTATTAATTGTTTTAGTGTATTTATAGCTAAAAGCTGATTGTTCAATAAGCTCATTTCAAAAAGCTCTTATAATGAGATTTTTGTAAAGGAGCTTTTTGAACCCAAAAACTCTTTTAATAAATTATTTACCAAATACCTAATTTAACTTTTTAAATCCATTCAAAAAATAAATAAAAAAAAAACAAAAAATAAATAAAAAAATCAATAGTCAAACCTCTAATAGTGCACAATAAGATAAAGTCTCTCCAAAAAGCTCAAACAAGGCCTAAGCGGTTGTTTGGCAATCGACGGTTGTCTGTTGACTTGTTTGACTAGCTGAAAGTATTAGCTTTTTAAGTTATTGTTTAAGCTGGCTGTTAACAAAAGTGTTTGGTAAAATTACTAATGGTTGTTAGTTGTTTATTAGTGATAAAGTGGGCCAACAAGCCAAAAACCAATAGAAAAAGCTACTCTTATTAGCTTTTGGCTTTTGGCGGGAAAGCTAGCTTAAAAGGCAATAAAAAAGCCAACTATGAAACATATTCTTTGGCTGTTTGACCATACTAAAATGCCAAATACCAAAAGCTAGGCAAAAAGCCAATTGCCAAACACCCCCTAAGTCTTTTGAACTTTAGGTTGGACCGTTGGAATTCAATCCCAACTAAGAACACTCTACCGTAAATAAATAAATAAATAAAAAGGCGATTTATATGTTACTATTCTAAATAAGCAGTTATTGTATGTGCGTACAACATATTTTTTTTTATAACATACATGAATTTTGTTTTTTATATAGTCTGTATATGTTTTTTATAGGTAAGAAAAATAATCATTAAGATGTTGGGTTTCGGTCAGTCCGACCCATCGCGGAAAGAAACCTGACCCAAAACCAAACTCACAACAATTATAACCATAAAGCATAATTAACATAAACACAAGACTAAGTAAGAGATTAATACCTTTGTAGCGTGCTTCGCTCACTTAATTGAGCTCTTACTTTGAAATCTCCTTAGCCCCGCTCACAAGGGGACCTCCTACAAAGTCCACCCGCAATGCGAGCACCAAACTCGGTCTATTGCCTTGGAGTTAGCAAGGCCCGACCTAAACCCGAGCAATTGTGTTCAAAGGTTTTCACACTGTGATGCCTTTTTCAAGACTTACTCAAGTGAATTATCCCAAGGCATGCCTTGGTATTTATAAGGAAAGCTTCCTTGTGAATTCCACTCATCTTTCAATGTGAGAATTTTTTGCAAAAAGATCCCACATGGAAAGATTGGTGAATTCAATCCTTAGTTAAATAAACCAAGGAATAACTAAGTAACAAGTGTCACATGGTTAGGTGAGGACCACTTCCTCACTTGCTCCCCAAGGCAACTCACATGCATTGTGAGCTAACCATGTGTCACCCAACCTTGAGCCCCAAATTGGATGCGGTTGGGCCACTACTTTTTGGCCCGTGTTCATGACCCTTCACCCGAATCCACGACCCATGCTAGTGGCGTTGCCACCGTGGCGCGCTGCCAATGTGGCACACTGCCACTTTAAGGCGGCTGCCAATGTGGCTGCTGCCACGGGGCACACTCCTATTTGGCGCACTTCCCTATCCTTTTGATTGGATAGGGTTTTAACCGTTACTTAAAGCATTTTACCGTCTCGCTAATTCCTTAATTTTGGCTTGACTTTCGACGCTCGGATTCGACGCTCCAAACTCGAATTTCCGACGTCTAAATATTAATTACTCGGGTGACTCATTATTTCCTTCCGAATTAATTCGTCGCATCGGTTTGTTAGTTGCTTAGGTGTGACCCAAAGGGTTCAGTCAAGATTAAGCTGTAATATTAATTACAATTAATATTACCGATCGGAAGCGGACTCCACCCGAGCATTCCGATCACTTGACCTCACTGAATAATTAGCTTTCTAATAATTCCTAATCCTCTATCGGAATAATACACTTGTTCAAAGGACACCATTCCTTTCAATCTCCCCCTTATCCTTCCGGACAAGTGCGCTTTTAGTGTATAACCTTTTTCCTATGTCACTTAATTTCTCTTCATGAAATATAAGGTAAGATTTATTCGTCATCCTTATTATGTCCAGAAGTGTTTCTCGATCCCGAGTCCGACTGTCAATAAACAAGTGATTTTTAAAATCCATCCGAGCACGGCCATGCATTTACAGTCTCGCTCTTCGAGAGACCTTGTAAACAACAAAGACATCTTCCCTATTTTTAGTAGGGGGACATTCCCAGTCTTGTAATGTAGATTCTTTTACTGAGAGGACCTAGCTTCCTAAGTGTTGCCGTTATAATCCCCTATTATGGTAGACGTTTGACAACATCAAAGCGGACTAGTACTCAAACAAGAGAACTCACAATACTCATGGTCGAGGGAATAGGTTCCAATAGCCATAATGATGAGAAGTATACTTATGACGATTTTTAATCTCTTTAAGTATTCTCATAGGTTGATCTAGTATTGTTCTAAACCAATATCTATGTAAATGATTTATGACAATCATGTCCTTGTAGCATAAGAAACGGTGCTATAAATCAAACTACACACTAATCTCAAGTGGTCACTAATCATCCATCGTTTAAATGACCTCGATTATGGATAATTTTCGATTATAATATTCAATGTTCACTTAATAGGAGTTTCCTTATCAAGACTGGTCTTGATGCCCTATTTTGAATATTCTCATAATCAAATGGACTCATTATTTAATCCTAAACCATAATAAAATAGCAAACGGAATGATAAAATTGCATGAAATTTTAAATTACTCCAAAATCTGAATGGTTCATCTTATGATAAATGGTTTTTTTCGAATTTTTTAAGAGTAACACTCTTTATAAAACATCTATAGAAATCAAACCCATATCTAATATGCTTGATTTCTTTCGTGCAATTGTGAATGTTGACGTTCACTTTTTGCATAGGTTTAGTTATAATTACTTTGCTAATTTTAGCATCTTCATTACTAATCACTTTCATAATAATAGATAAAATTTGAGGGTGCCATGGATTATATGTGATTTAGGATTTATTGTCCAATTGATGGCTCCCACTCATTTTCATGATTGAGATCTTCAACTTGACAACCTACAATCATTAATGTTCAACAACGAACTTTCCATAGAACATCTTCCTTATTATTGCCTTTACTGCGTATATATATATATGTATATATATATATATATATATGTATATATATATGTATATATGTATATATATATATACATATACATACATATATATATATATGTATATGTATATATATATGTATATATATATATATACATATACATACATATATATATATATATACATATACATACATATATATATATATATATATATATATATATATATACATATACATACATATATATATATATATATATATATATATATATATATATATATATATATATATATATATATTAGTAGACTTCCTGATGATGCTTTGCTTGGGTTTCACTCCAAACGATTTTCACAATGATTTGAGATACCCTAATCACTTGTGATCATGGAAATTTACTTTAAATTCCCGCACATTATACATGGATGCACATCCATGTTACCATTCTCAAGCCACAACTCATTGTAAGCTCGTGCTTATAAATGACTTTCTTGTTAAGGATATAATCCTTGTTAAGGTTTGTGCTTGCAACATCAATTCTCAAATTGTATTTGTTTCCACAAGTCAAGAACCCATCCTGTTATTTATCCAAGTACTTTGG